TTAAAACAAGCAAATTGGGGACTCCTGGCTCTGACTATCGCTAAATATATGCAGAAAAGGGCAACTTACACACAAGGAGTTGGGAGACATACGAAGCAAGAGTTACTGAACATTCTGAGAAAAGATTTCCAAGCCTTGTCTAATTTCCTAGGTAGCTTTTAAAAAAATAAAAGAATGAAATTTTCGGTACAAACTTTCTAGGTAATTTTAAAAAAAGTTTACAAAAGAATTTTAAAAATCCTCTGATTGTGATTGGAAGATTTTCATGTCAAAATGTTTTTAAAATTTCTTGTCATTGCAATTGTTTATAAAAAAGTTTAAAATAAAAGGGAAAAAAAGGAACCAAAAGAGCACTAAGTCTTATCAGATACTTATAATCGGTCTTTTAAAAAAAACAAAGTGTGTATATAAGAAACGTCATATTTCTGTATTAATGATAGGAAAGGCAATCTTTTTATTTAAAAAAAAACAAATATTATTTACAGGAGCTAAAAAATTCTTCTTTGGCGATAAGCCTTCGTCAGTGGACTGCAGTATATTTGGACAGTTATCTCAATTTCTTTGGCATTTACCAGAATCTGAACCAAGCATTATGTTAAAAGGCAGGACATTCATATTTTCTTTTTCCTGTGATTTGTTGTCTTTTTTTCGCGTCAATTTTTGTTTTGTTTCATTTGAAAATTTCATTATGGTAAAGAAACAATATATTGTATATAGATACAAACAATAAAATCTAATTTTGAATTTAAATTTTAACTCTAATTTTCAAGAATAACAAGGCAAATTGTATACAGTCGTAATAAAAAACCCCTGTTAATTTCAGTATTTGTTTCTTTTCAGATGAATTTCCTAATTTGTGTGAATACTGTGAACGGATGAAAAATACATTGTGGAAGGACTGGAATGATAACGTGTTATTTCCCTCTAAAGAGACCTAGAATTTTTTAATCTAAGTTGTATTGCACATGTTTTATTATTTTGTCTTTGTTGTCCATGCATAAGAGTTATTTGCTTATGACTGTATTGTTATATAGTGCAGGCTTGAACATACATAGTATGTGAATTGTATTACTTGATGTTTCTTAAAGACAGATTTTTTTGCTGCTGCCAAACAAATCTATTTGATAATCTCTGCATAATTTATGCAGATAGTATCTAATAAATAGAGATTGACAATAAGTGTCACCCTTTGAGCCTAGTGCTCTAAGTTCATGTATGGTTTGCGCACATTTTTACGGCAAGTTGAAAAATAAATAATCACACAAATAAGTACTAGAATTTATTATGCATATAATAAATATACAATTTTAACAATCCTCATGTCGTCAGTAACAACATGCTCAAGTTATAAATTCATATACTTATACCTAGTCAGCAAAGTGCTGCCGCTTATTGACATTGCCAGTTGAAATATGAACGAATAACACGCCTTTTGGTATTGGATATTCAAGATAATAACGTGAAGTACTAAGAAGTTGATTTTGGAATACCAACAAAATCGAACAACTAAGGTTTCGCTTAGGTACAGTTACTTTTGTCATCTATTAAAGCATGTAGTTGAAGATTAACGATGACTGCGTTAGCACTTGATTTTCGAGAGAAGTTTTCATCACACACAACAGGAGCCCTTATTCATTGTGCATGTCTTGCTCCCCGTCGTCTTGTTGTGTAGGTGTTTTAGATTGATCTAGTTGATTCTTCAGATTAACATGGATTGCTGTACAATGTCGATAATTGTTACACTCTAAACAATTTACATTCACATTGCAAGTTATATACACTTTAGTTTTTGAGTCACACAATTTATAACACAAGTTTTTGTTACGAATGATTTGTTTTTTTTTTTCTTCACTGATTTCTTGCGGAAAGCTTTACATTGGCTAAGCATATGAGAAGTGTTGGGCACTTTGTTCCTTCCTTACATTCTGTTTTCTTGACACTCACATTTTCCTTACAGGTGATTTCTTCATGGTATCTTTATATGAAAAGCTAGGACTGTTCATGTCACACTAATGAAATCACATAGCACTGTGAATGGTGGAAATACACAATCATGCTGTTATTTGTATTTGCTAGCATTATTGGGCAATTTTCTTTGTATAGATCTCGGCAGTTTGTTTATAATTGGTTTCACTCCAACTGATGTGTCATAGTAGCTAAGCAAATCATGATACTTTGGATTTCTCTTCAAGTACAACACTTTAGGAAGTAGGTCTGATAGTTCTTATAAAGTTTCTTTGTATCAGTACAGAAGCTTTGGAAATTTTGTCATTCTGTTTCTAAAAGAAGCTGCAACCATTTCCGGAGATCCATACCTTTCTTCAATCATTTCCATAAATGTGTACGTCCTAGAAGTGGATTGTCAATAGTTGAAGCTCTGATGCTTCTGCATAGAGTGCAGATTAGTAGATCCATTTCCTCGGATGGTGACATGTTTAAACCATGGCAAATGGATTTGAAACTAGCTTTCCAAGTTGTATAGGGTTCTGCTTTATCACTAAAATTGAGAAATCAACCGGTGGCGTCTCCGTAGGAGTGACAAATTCTCGAGAGGGACGTTAAACAATCAATCAATATGTGATTGATTAAGTGAGAAAACTCTGTATTTTTTCATGTCTAAGCGATGTTACAAAAGGTGGAAAGGTTTGAGTAGAAAAAGGTGCTGCACACTTTCAAATGTAGGTTGAACTGTTGTTGCAACGGATGGAAAAGTCTGAGTAGGAATTAGTGCTATACTTTCACTTGTAGGATGAACTGTTGTTGAAACAGAAGGGAAAATCTGAGCGAGAACTTTAGCGGCACTTTCACTAGTTTTAGGTTGCGTAGACAGTATGTCATTCTGGAGAAACTATGTAGGATGTTGAGGTAGAATGAAAGTTTCGGCATCTGGATTAAGGTTACTGGGAATCATAGAATTATGTTTAGGTTTAATGTTACCATTACTCTTCTGACAGTCATAAAATCTTTAAAAAATCAGCCGCATATTTCCTAGTGTTTTCAGATGAGTCGACATATTCTGAATATGATTCACATTCCAATTCGAATTGCTCCATTGCTTGTAACTAAGCGACAGCTTTTTCCTTAAGCACGTTGAGGAGCTAAAGTTCGGTCTGAAGATGGATAGATTAACAAAAATTTTCTTCCTTCCTGTATGATTCCTCTTCTTCTAGTTCTACTTGCCATTTCTTTAGTTCCAGCAAATACAATTTATCATTGAGTCAAATGCTGACTGACATTTTTCATACTAATTGTTAGTCCATTATTTGACGACGGATTTTCTAGTTATTTCTCGATAAAGACAAAGAGCACACGGCGGGTGTGACTGGTCAGCAGGGGCTGCCCAATCCACCATGGCACCAGATCCCACCTCTATGTTTTGGAGGTTTGTTCTGCTCCTATTATTTATTGTTTTATCCTTCATCCAACTTCCTTTATAGTAAATTCAACTTTTGATTTTGCTGCTTCAACCTTTGCATGTGGTTTCATTTACACTCTTAATTCCGATGTGTATCTGTATGTGTATGAATGTTTTATGAATGAATCTCATACAATGAAGCGCATTGAAGTGGTAAAATTTTCCGTTCGAATGGAACGTTTCGAGCTATCTTTAGAGCGTTGTTTGTCATAGGATGACACGCCCATTTCTTTAGAAATAGATAAAACGGTCAATTTGTTTATTCGAATACCTGTAGAACAGGTTTTCCATAAATATAATAGCCAATCAAATTGACAGTCTAAATAAACACTGAGTAAACATGTGTTCGACCGAAACACGTGTTCTGGTAACTTCAACAGACATGATAAATTTAGAAATATGCAAATATTCGTTGCAATTTGTGTTTTACAGAAGCGGGGAGTCTCTAACTCTCCCTTCTTATCTTTTTAAAGCTCCATTTCAGTGTAACTCATGTTGCTTGTCGCGAAGAGTGGGGTGTCCTAAAACATAACGACGAATATTTCTTTCTCATTTCTAAAAATATGGGCGTGTCATAATGTTATAATTGACGTGACTCAGAACGTTTCATCCAAACGGAAAATTTTACTATTTCAATGCGCTTCATTGTATCTCCATTCTTATGAACACTACATGTAAAAGGTAAGATTATATAGAATTCATTTACTTTACAAAGTATCTTAAAATTATGCTCATGGATTGCACAGTAATCTGCATTTTTGTTAGAAGTACATTTTTTTAAAGAAAAAGCGAGATTTTTTTTAAATGATAAGGTATGTGATCATATTGTGGCAAAGGAACAATTTCAAAAACTCTTTTACTCGTCATTATTTTAATTAATGCATACTTGAACATTCATAGTATGTAAATTGTATCAATTTATGTTTTTTTAAGATAGATATTTTTCTCCGACAGATCAAACCTATTTGATCAGCTTTGCATAATGTATATAGATGATATCATTGGGTCGGATAGGAATGATAGGTTATATTTGCTGACAAGGTCATTATAACGACTGTCACCATAGAATTTTCGAAATGCCGACTAAAGACGAGTTTGTTGAAATCCCTGTAACATCAACTTATCTGTAAGTAGCCTGCCTCTGTTTAGTTACACTTGAGCATTGAAAAGGTTAGGTTACTTGTATACATCTTGATGAAAAGATGCGTGGTTCCATCCTCAGGTGGATCCTCCTTCATCGGCTGTTTTGGCGCTTTCCAACACAGCCTCCAGAGGTGCGCCGACTGGGGTGATCAGCTCCCAGCCTGGAATCATTTGGCTCTACATCACTGCTGTATTAATTCAGTGACTGTCTTACTGTTGTTTATAACTGCTGTTCTAATTTACTGTCTATCTCCCTAATGTTTATTTTCTTTCCACTTATCCGCTCTTCTTCTCCACAGCCACATGGACGCTGATTCCGCCTCCCTGCACAGACTCCCTATCAGTCTCCTTCTCTCTGCTCCCGTTATGCCAATGGTTCTCAGTGCTCTCCACATAGACTATCCCACGAATCCTCTACAACCCACTTCTACTGCAAAAAACCAGACCTTCCATCCGTTCTGCTGACAATCTTTCAGTAAGTCTTGGTACTTGAGATTTTTCCTTTCGTACGCATCCTCTATCCTATCTTCCCATGGCACTGTTAATTCCAAAATAATTGTCTGTCTTGTAGCCACTGACCAAAGGACTACATCCGGCCTCTTGTTTGTGGCTATCATTTCCGGCGGAAATACTAATCTTTCCCTAAGGTCTACCCGCATCTGCCAATCTGTTGTTGTCCCCAACAGACCACTTTCTTCAACTCTAACTTTATGTCCCTTTTCACCTTCTTTCACAAAGTTGACAAATCTCAGGCTCTCTGTGTTCTTCTTTGGTTTTTTGATACCTTTCTCCAAGGTGTCAGCTATACTGGCTAGGACTCTATCATGTCTCCAAGTGTATCTTCCATCTTTCAAAGCCTCTGAGCATGCTGATAATATGTGCTCCAAGTTTGCTGGTTTACCACATAGGACACACTTTGGATCATCTATCACTCCCCATGTTACCAGGTTAGTTTGGCTGGGAAGAACATCATAAACTGATTTCAGCTTAAACTGAAGTCTGAATGTTTCCATCTTCCAAATATCATTCCATCCCAACTTCACTTGGCGTGCGTTTTCCCAGTTCACCCAGCTACCTTGTTTCTTCATTCCAACTGCCTTGACCATTCTTGAACCTTTCTCCATTGCACGCACCTCTCTCTGCACCAAACTACGGTTCTCTTCTACCGAAGCTGTACCCCATCTTGCTGTTGGTGTGACATCAAGTCCCTGCCTTCCTATTGCCAGTCTTCCTACAAAGTCACTGTGTCTCAAGCGGGATTCTGCTTCTTGTATAGTTTCTTTTACTGACCACTTTCTCCCCCGTCCTGATATCTACTTTTGCTGTCCGAACCTTCTCGTCTTTGTTATTCTGTAACATTAAGTGCTGACGCACCTTTGTCACCTTGAATTCCTCAGTTATTGACTTTAGAGGTAACTGTAGCTTAGTCCCAGAGCTATATAATCCAACGCTTCTGAAACTTCGTGGTACCCCCAGCCATCTCCTCAGGTATCTGCTCGCTATTGTTTCCATCCCTTCTACTGTGCTCATTGGTACCTCATACACAAATAGCGACCACAGCAAGCGAGGCAGTTTCCCATGTTGGTATATCCAGGCTTTATATTTGCCGGGCAGTCCACTTTTATCCACCGTTTTCATCCATTCATCCAGCTGTCTGCATGCTTCTTTCACATTTTGTCTGTCTGTTAATGTGTCATTAAAGAATTTCCCTAAACACTTTACTGGCTTCCCTGAGACTGTTGGTATTGCCTCTCCTTCAATGTTGAATCTTACTTCTTTTACTTTTCCATTCTTTATAACCAAGCTACGAGACTTGCTTGGGTTTACTTTCATTCTTGCCCAAGTGATAGCTGATTCTAGTTCATTTATTGTCCACTTGGCTTCAATAACTGTTTTGGTTGTAATTGTCATATCATCCATGAATGCTCTCCCTGGTAGTTGACGTACTCCTGACTTCATCCATGGCCTTCTGCTCTTCTTCTCCACTGACTTGACTATCATGTTAATTGCTGCTGAAAATAGGATTACGGATATGGTGCATCCTGTGACTATACCAACTTCTGAGCGTTGCCATGCTGTTGTGTAATCCTGTACTGTGAATCTTAGTTGAAAATGGTCAAAATAGTCTTTTAAAACTACCCTCGTCTTCTCTGGTACATGGTATTTTTCGAGTGTCAGCTCAACTAGTTTATGGGAACTGTCCCATATGCATTGGCTAGATCTAGCCAGATGACTGCCAACTCCCCTTTAGACTGCTTTGTTTCCCGGATTATCTATGTCAGTACACTTGTGTGCTCAATACGTCCTGATACTCCGGGTACTCCTCTCTTCTGCACAGCAATATCAATATATACTGATTTTCAAGCATGTAACTAGACATTCTCCCCGCTAAAATTGCAAGGTATATCTTCCCTTCTACGTTCAGGAGCATATAGTCCCAAATTGTTTCAATGCCTCTGATTTCTCTAGCTTCTTTGGGAATAAAGCAGCTTTCTGCTCTGTACCAGCTATCTGCCAATCGACCTCTCCTCCAAATCACTCTTATCAGTTTCCAGAGGCGCTTTGTCAACCGTTGACAATTCTTATAAACTTTATACGGGACCCCATTTGGTCCTGGTGCTGATGCTGTTCTGGCTTTCTTGATAATATCTACTAATTCTTTTAGTTTTGGTGGTGATTCATCGAAGGGTTGACTTGGTTCTTCCGGATGTATCAACTGCTCCTACTCCCCTAACTCTTCCTCCCTATGTGGATGTAAACAGTATATGCAGGTGATAGCGGGAAATTGCTATAGAAATGAGGAAATCTGACGTGAAATCTTCTCGTTTGTAATTCAGTTTAATTGTAAGCTGGTCCTCGTCACCTAAGATCGGCAAAACACCCAAATATGAAACAGGCGTTGCAAACTGTCTTTTATTTCAAGTTCCCTAGGATGTACAATGAAGCGCATTGAAGTGGTAAAATTTTCCGTGTGGACGAAACGTTCTGAGTCATGTTTTGAACGTCAGTTACAACATAATGACACGCCTATATTTTTAGAAACGAGTAAAAAATATTTGTCGTAATGTTTTAGGACACCCCAATCTTCGCGACAAGCAATATGAGTTACACTGTAAAATGGAGCTTTAAAATTTAGAAGAGAGAGTTAGAGACTCCCTGCTTCTGTAAAACTCAAATTGCAACGCATATGTACATATTTTTGAACTTATCATGTCTATTGAAGTTACCACAACACATGTTTCGGTCGAACACGTGTTTACTCGGTGTTTATTTAGACCGACAATTTCATTGGCTATTATATTTATGGAAAACCTGTTCTACAGGTATTCGAATAAACAAATTGACAGTTTTATCCATTTCTAAAGAAATGGGCGTGTCATACGATGACAATAAACGTACTAAAGATAGCTCAAAACCTTCCATTCGAACGGAAAATTTTACCACTTCAATGCGCTTCATTGTATCAAATCGACGAATATGTTCGTTATGCATAAATTATCGTTGATGTCCCTGGCATACTATTATACAAACTAGACAGTGATTCCTTTTATTTCCATTTCACTGTGAAATAAAATTTTACATTCAGATTTAAAAAATGTAGACTTACAGATTTAAATTACTCCCATGTCAGTTTTAATAGTCTTCACCCACTGACGTCAAACACAAAGACAGCCGCACGAGATTTACATGTACATGCATTTTTGGCCTCCTTAGTGTCTGACCTATCGATTTGCTTCATTTAATTACATTCCGGTAGAATTATCAAGAAATCAACCCCACTAACTTTCATACAGTTGATTTCTTGATACATGTAATTCTACCGGAATGTAAATTAGACAGGTCAATAGGGTAGGAGCTAAGGAGGCCTAATATGCATGCAAATCTCGTGTGTGTCTGTCTCTGTGTCTGACGTTAAGGAGGCCAAATATGCATGTAAATCTCGTGCGGCTGCCTTTGTGTTTGACGTCAGTGGGCGAGGATTATTGAAATTGGCATGAGAGTCCGCGTTCAATTTAAATTTATGTCTACATTCTTAAAGTCTAAACCTAAAATTTTATTTCACAATGAAATGGAAATATAAGGAATCAATGTCTAGTTAGTATAGTATGCCAGGGCATCAACGATAGTGGGAAACATGGGATGATTTGCATAACGGGCAAAGACAGTGATTCCTTAAGAAAACATAGAAATGGAAACATCAGGGCATAAACACGCGGACCCCCAAAATTCCAGACGTGAGATCAGGTGACTAGGATGAAAACCATAGGATTTACAAAATGTTGAAAAAGGAGTTTTATGAAATACGAGGGTTGATCCAAAAGTAATGTCACATTGTCCATATCTTTTATATTTGGCGTCATATCATCAAATACAATATACCAAATACCAAAAGATGCACAAATATAAATCTAATTGACATTGAAATTTTAATTTAATAATGTTAATTTGAATTTATTTTATAGATGTTTAAAACATAGAGCATAGCATGTATAATTTTGTTGCTTTACGTCGATTTATAGCAATTTTATCAAAGTTATGACATTACTTTTGGATCAACCCTCGTACATATACATTACTGAGTTAAACATATAAAGTCTTCTTGTAAACAGTTTCATGAGAATCAAGAAAAGACAAAAACAGGGTGGGTCATTGAACAAGAGGCCCATGGGCCTTATAGGTCACCTGAGCATCATGCAACAACTTTCCAACGATCGAATTTGGTTTATGCTTTAAACTAGACATTATGGCATTCACAATTTTGAAAGAGACACCATTGCTAATCTAAGCATGTTTAGCTTGGTTACTTAATACCCATAGATGTAGAGTAGGGGAACAATGGTCAAAAAAATGCATTTTTTTTTACTAATCAGTAATATTCAGCAATAATCAGTAGTACTGCTACCATACATGAACCCCTGACCCTTGGTCCACAAATTTCACAATTTTGGAAAAGGCACCTTTGCTTATCAAAATTGTTTGGAGCAGATTTCAAACAATCAATTTATTTTCAGTATATAAGACCCCCCTCTATGGTACCCCCGACCCAGGGGCCATAAAATTCACAATTCAGGAAGAATGGCCCTTGCTCATCATAGCTATATATTAGATAGTTCATCTGCTAAATACCCAGAAACAAAGAAGAAAATTTTCAAAGATTTAATGTATTTTCACTATGTTATCAATAGAGCCCCGCCCTAACACCAGAACCCCTGACCCTGGGGCCATAAAATTCACAATTTTGGAAGAGACATTCTTCCTCATCATAACTATATACTTAGTTAGTTTGTTTAATACTCAGGAGCAGAGAAGAAGATTTTTAAAGATTTAATGTAATTTCACTATATAATCAATAGAGCCCCGCCCTAACACCAGAACCCCGACCCTGGGGCCATAAAATTCACAATTTTGGAAGAGGCATTTTTCCTCACCATAACTAAAATACCCAGGAGCAGAGAAGAAGATTTTCAAAGTATTAATGTATTTTCACTATCTAATCAATAAAGCCCCGCCCTAACACCAAAACCTCTGACCTTGGGGCCATAAAATTCACAATTTTGGAAGAGGCATTTTTCCTCACCATATCTATAATATCCAGGAGCAGAGAAGAAGATTTTCAAAGTATTAATGTATTTTCACTATATAATCAATAAAGTCCCGCACAAACACCAGAACCTCTGACCCAGGAGCAATAAAATTCACAATTTTGGAAGAGGCATTCTTCCCCATCATAACAGTATACTGAGTTAGTTTGTTTAATACCCAGGAGCAGAGAAGAAGATTTTCAAAGAATTAATGTATTTTCATTATATACAAGTGTGATCAATAGAGCCCTGTCCTAGCACTAGAACCCCTGACCCTGGGGCCATGAATTTCACAATTTTGGTAGAAGACTCAATGGTCAGCACATTCATGCTAACAGTTTGCCTGCTTGATGTCCAGGAGTAAAGAAGAAGATTTTTAAAGATTGCAATAATTTTAGTGGTTTTGTTGGGGGCAGGGACCATGAAATTCACAGTTTTTGTTCCCCTTCACCCATAGATGCTTTATGAAAAATTTGGTGGAAATGGATTGAGTGGTTGCAGAGAAGAAGCTAAAAATGTTCAAAAGTTAACGACCGATTGAC